TGCACTCACCACACCAAGGACGTGCCTCTTCAAGAGTTGTTCCTTAAGGTCATGTAACTTAGCACGAAAAACTCTTGCAACCAGATCTGGTCTATCTTGTGCTGTTTGAAAATGAAGTAACTCATTTTGGATTTCAGGCCAATTCGGATTGCACGTTATTGTAAGGAATATATCAGGTTTCCCTCCATCTTGAACTAAAGCCATAGCATCGAGAAATCGTCGTCGCATGTCACGAGGACCTCCGATGAAACTTGCTGGCAAAACAACACGTTGCCCAATCATACTTGCTTGTACCTCACCGGCATTGACACAATCCACAACACCTTGGTATAACTCCGCTCTTATTGTAGATTGGTTTTTTCTACAAAATTCCAAACGCGAAGTCTCAATCTTGATGTAGATATCTACCACAAATTGTTGTAATAATCTCCCTCCTAACATAATTACGTTCAAGTTTGATCGAATCTGCAACTTGTAACAGTAGTACTCCCGCATAGTTACAGTTTTCCTACCCGTTCTTATATCAGTCTCTACATAATGATTAAATTGAATAAATTATATCAATTTTTACATTTGTAAAATTTAACAATATTAAAATTGTGGCTATGCGTACCTTCTAGATCTTCATCGAAGATTTGGTCGTCATTAACCATCTCATTGAATGAAACCCCTTGCCTTAGTATGTTAGAATGCCATCCAGGCTCACCATTTGGAAAGAATAAAGGATAACACAATGGGTCATAACATCCCCAATAAGATTGAATTGTTTTTGGTTTGTCGGACCTTCCATATACTATAATACTTCTTTTATATGCGGTTATGTTGTCATTGCCTTCAATCCAAATACCAGCAACCTGTGAAATTATACAATAGAAAAAATATGATTAAAACTGGTACGTAGTTATATTTAATACATGAAACATCTTTTTTCTCAAAAACATATGTACATAATTAATTTCAAACCTCGGATGTGGTTGGCCGGTTGTACACCCTTTGGTCTAGTTCTACTGATGCATTTAAAGTGACTCTGTAATTGTCGAGCGGTCCTAGATCAGCAAGGCTACGAAATATTGCAACGTATGGGTTTGTAGCAAGAACGCGAGTCAAAATTTCAACAATTGGTTTAGCAAGATTCTTCCATTCGAGTCTATTTGACATCTCAGCTTCAACATCGTAAAAATACAATTGTAAGAACTTAGGTTCATCCTTTTTCCTTGGAACTAACTGATCGATTCTATGGTATATCCCTCCATTCACACAAAAAGTGTATACCCCAGATGTCATATTGGCCATCGATTCATCCACTTCTACGCCCATTGATGCAAATGAATAGTTGGTGTTGTATGCACGTATATTCTTTCTAAACAATTTGCCTAATTTTGTTTCTGAGGTGAAAAGATTGTGTAATTCGTCAGGAATAGATGAGTCTGCCAACTTTGTCTTTCCACTCATGCAACAAAAGCCAGCAGATTCAAATTGTAGTCGTTTTGCCCCACAATAACTACATATATCATTGAACTTCACCACACGATGTTTTTTACGGATACCGGCGAAAACAAAACTATATGGATCATCCGAGATGCTACCATTTTGTACTGATGGAGTGACATTGCCATGGATACAACCTTGTGGATCTGTAGACATTTTATTCATTAGTTAAATGTAATATAAATAAAATTAAAATAATTACACATAATTATTAGCCAATATATATGATATTTTTCGGTAAAAATCAAATACTGACCTATTGATGTTGAAATTTGAGTTATCAATTCATCGCGTGGAGGTAGTATTACGTCAGGCTGACTTTGAATACCTACGTATAAACAAAAATTTCTCATTAAGAATGTAAATTATGAAAGATTATGGTTAAATGTAATGTTGTACTACTTAGATTGTAATATGATAACTTCAGACATAGTTACCTGGTTTTGTTATGGTTGGTTCCGTCTGACGTTGATAAGGGTTTCTATTATAAATCAACTTTTTTTGACCAAAATCCATTACACATGTAGGAGATGCATTGGTAATATCCACCAGATTCCTATTTACTGTTGGCACATTTGACAAAAATGTTGCGTTTTGACTATTTCCTTCCCCATTAGCTATTCGTCTCATTTTGTTTTTCTCCTTTCGTCGTTCGTAACATGCCTTATTATATGCTTTTCGTTTTTCTGCAATATTTTTTTAAATGAAAATGTATAACGATGATATACTAATAATGATTGTAAATATGTGATATACCTTTTGTATTTTCTGCATCAATTTGGATAACATTATTATGTTTATTTTCTTTACCGTCAAACCTCATTGCAAACTGTAAAACACACAAAAAAATGTATACTTTATTTTATACATAACAAATCAAAAAGTATGATTATTCAAATACGAAATTTATTACCATTTGTTTTTGTTATAATAGTTTAGATCAAAACCAGATTTTATTTATGTGTTTCTGGTAATGTGAATGGTCTATAAGGAGATGATGCTTGAGTTGCCGACATATATTGGTTTGATGATACTTCTTTTCTTAGGTGAAGCTAGTTACTTTGAAACACGTTGCATCTAACTAAAAAAATACTATAAATAGTAGACTTTTTCATCATATAGTACTTGAATAAGAGATAATTTAAAGTTAAATACACATACCTGTTTGATTTTGATGAATCCGATAGAGCAGATGGTTTTTGTGAAGCCGATAGAATATATGTAGTTTATGCATGTACAAAGGAACACAAAGTGAGTGTGAATGGTGTATAATCGAGAAAGTAAAAATCGTAAATAGTAAACATACGCAGTAGCAGACTGTAGAACCGATGAAGCCTTCTTATATGTTAAATTATAATTATAGAATATGTTTGCAATTGGCGCCTATGGTTCATCTACTACGCAAATATCTCTCTCTCTCTCTCTCTATATATATATATATATATATATATATATATATTATATATATATATATATATATATATATATATGGTTAAAAGTTTGTTATGAAAGGATTACATATAGTTCATACTTATGTGTATATTTATAATAAAATTTGAAATTCGTAATCCATTTTGATTTACTTTTATCTTATTAGTTGAAAAGTATTCAAAATTATACCGGGAAACAAAATAAGATTTTTTGTTTTGAATTGGTTTTACATGTAATTCAATTTTAATTATTATTTTTGTAGATTCTTAAAAAAAAAAAATAGGAATTGCATGAAAAAACGTATAAAATTCTCTCTACTTTTTCCTTGTTTTTTAATACAGGTCTAATAATTTAATCAGAGTTGGAAGTGGATACAGTTTGATGGACGAAAACCAGTTATCACTGAAAAACGATGAAGTAGCATATAGCTTTAATTATGGGTATGAATTTTTATTTTTATTTTAGTAACCTATTTGGTTTTTTAGCATTTATTTATTTTTTTAAAATTTTAGTATGAATATAGGTTAATCCAGTTGGAAGTGGATGCAGTTTCATGGGGATAAACACTTATTACTGAAAAACGATGAGGTAGTTGATCGAGAAAGGATAGAGGTGAATATCGATGGATGTGGATTCGCATATGAAATCAATTGTGTTCGCATCTATGAAATCAGTTCGCATATGACATCAATTGAGTTCGCATTTGGTTTTGTGGGTCAAAACAGTTCGCATAAGAAGTTCACGATTTGTTGTTTGAGGTTAATTGATTTTGATTTCGCAAGCTTGGAGTCGGAGATCTGGATTGTGTTCGCATCTATAGAATGCGAGGAGAATTTAATGGTGATATTCAGTTCGCATTTGGTGACACAAGTACGTGGTTGATGATTTTTGGTTGGTTCGCATTTGAAATCAGTTGGTTTCGCATTTGGGTTCGTATCTGGGTTTCTCAAACAACTGAAATGCGAATATGAGACAACTGATTAATTTCTCAGTTAATGCGATGAAATGCGAATGAACTCAAAGACGGATGGATGCAAGATGCGAAGAACTTGAATGAAAATGCGAAGTTTTTAATGTATAAATGCGAATTGGGGAAGAAAGCTAAGAGTTTCGCATTTGGCCCCTGATCTTTTCAAGAAATAATATAAGTGGTCCAACTACAGGGATGCGAAATGAAAATTCTGCACTTGTCTTTTTATGACCCCATTTTGCGAAGTTGGACCACTTATATTATTTCTTGAAAAGATCAGGTGCCAAATGCGAAACTCTAAGCTTTCTTCCCCAATTCGCATTTATACATTAAAAACTTCGCATTTTCATTCAAATTCTTCGCATCTTGCATCCATCCGTCTTTGAGTTCATTCGCATTTCATCGCATTAACTGAGAAATTAATCAGTTGTCTCATATTCGCATTTCAGTTGTTTGAGAAACCCAGATACGAACCCAAATGCGAAACCCACTGATTTCAAATGCGAACCAACCAAAATCATCAACCACGTACTTGTGACCACAAATGCGAACTGAATATCACCATTAAATTCTCCTCGCATTCCATAGATGCGAAACAATCCAGATCTCCGACTCCAAGCTTGCGAAATCAAAATCAATTAACCTCAAACAAATCGTGAACTTCTTATGCGAACTGTTTTGACCCACAAAACAAAATGCGAACTCAATTGATGTCATATGCGAACTGATTTCATATATGCGAACACAATTGATTTCATATGCGAATCCACATCCATCGATATGAAACCAATACCAGTTACAAGCAATTATAATATATATATATATATATATATATATATATATATATATAATATATATATATATATATATATATATAGTAAGTCAAAAAGAAAATAAAAACACCACATTCACGAATGAAAAGTTAACAAATTAACAAAACCAATAATAAAACTTAAAACTGATAAAAGATATAATGTGGTAAAACCATATGTGTTAAAAGTTCCACAACTGAATTGAAAACACGGGAATTAAAAAAGTTTTCAAGAAAATCTTTTTCTAATACTCTCATCAATATCTAGCTCTAATCCTATCAGCTTCATACATTTGTGGTTCAATCAAAGTCGGTTAAAACAGTAGAAACCAATAAATTACCTGCAAAAACATGAAATGTGGCATAAAATTTAATAATATGTATTTACAATTTGGAATATGTTGATATTAATATAAATTATATACTGATCATATTTTTTAACTGACCCAAATTGTTGTGGACCAGCTTCATGCAAGAAACATAGAGTATGGATTTGTTGTATGTTGCAACAATAACCTTAATCATAAGGTTTGCTGGTACGTTATACAACAATAACTTTGTTACGTTCCCCCTATTAAAAGGTAATGCTGTTTAAACTCTTATAATGAATGATAATAAATTTAATAAAAAACTATGTTGTTTTAAGTGTTTTTTTGAATACATATATACTTACGTCTCATCTTGGAGAATTAACTCAAATGATCGCAGCTGTCTGATTCGATTTCCCCATACTATTCTTCCAACCACATCTAAAAAACATATTTTCTTGTTAAATTTATAGTAGATGATATAAAAATGATTAAAGAAAAGATATAAATATACCAACAAGCCTTCTTTTATTTGTATGATCTTGTGCAACAGTTGTGACAGTAGACACAATTGGATAAAGTGGATATCCACTGGCAAAATCGCTTGCTAACCGAGTAAAAGTTGTGGCATGGTTTATCATTATCGCCTTATCACTGGTGCAGATTTTGTACTGTTGGTACATTGGATTGTCCAAATGGTATTCATCAACTTGGAAATGTTGCACAGAGAATACATTTCCTTTCAGATTCATGTTTCGATATCCGGGCACTAAATGGCGAGGTATGATTGCTAATATTTTTTCTCTCTGGTGTAAATAACAAAATGGTAATGGTATTATTTACAAAATTAAACTTTTAATAGAAGTTGAATATTTTAATTGGAAAAAAACCTTACCTGGCGAATTTATCCCACAAGAGCATCCTGTTGTTTTCCATTCCTCCCAAACATACAATACTCTAACACTTGTAATGTTCCACCATTCATATATTTGCCCCAAAGCAGAAAATTCATTAACAGTAGTATGATAAATATCCATTTCAACTGAAAAACACTTCAGTTAATAATTGCTATACTTGATGGTTTTTCTAATACATATTGCTTGTACTATGAAATAAAGTAAAAGTTCAATACCTGTTTGATTCTGATATAGCATATAGAACAGATGGTTTTATGAAATCAATGGAACAAATGGTTTGATGGTAAAGTATGGAAGCAAGATTCGTAATCTTAAATACGTATATATGTACAGATTACAAAACATGTTTGTTATTAATGGATGAGATAGATTTAATGTATATCATCAGTTTTTTTTTTAAATGACAATTTAAAAAATCCTAATCAGTTTGGATAGAATTTGAAGTGCTTATCTGATAAGCACTATGATAATTTCGAAGTTAGTGTTATCTTTTTCTAATTAATAATGATATAAACTATAAAGATAATTTCGAAATTAATATGTTGACTAACATTGATCCTTAAAATTTGGGATATGAATGGTTTTGAGCGGGAAAATATTGACACCTGGGTAACCCTCTACAATAAATACCTATGTTTGCTTCTCTGAAATTCGATAATGACTTGATTCTTCCACCTGGGAAGAAGGTATGTTCACATATTTTTTGTTTTCTCTTTTGATTTAATTGTTACGTTGTAACTAATACTACTTTTGACATAGAAAAACGGCCATAATGTCGAACTCAAGTAGCATTGTAAATAAGCAGGAATGTGATCAAATCATCCTTCAACTTTGTATGCATGAGAAACATGAGAAAGAAAAGAAAAGGGAATGGGCATTGCTAAATTGGAATTGGGATGAGGTTATTGATATTCTAAGTTCTGAAGATGAAAAGCTGGATGATGAAGCTGTGGAAAAGTCTGACACATTAGATTCAACAAAACCAAAAACTTTGTCACCACCACTGAAGAGACCCCGTGTCAAAGTTCAAAGCCGAAACAGATGTTATAGGCTTCGTGATGAAGAAGATGGTGAATTTCCTGTTGATGTCGGGTAAGATCATTTGTACTTTGTTTTACAAACGATCATGAAAAACTGTTTTTTTTTATATATTTCAAGGATCAAGAAACTTATGAATGCCTTAAATTTTATTTTTTTGTCAGGAGTGGTTTGATTACTGTTACAGCTGAAAACCAGCCATCTCAGGATGATGAAGATGCAGTTGTTAACACCTAAGTTTTTTAGTAGATTTATTTGATGTTGGAATTTTTATGGTTGTCTTTTTTTTGGATTGTTTCAAATAAGTAACATGTTTTTATGGTGTTGTTTTTCCTTTGCTATTACATTATTATTTTCTGGGGTATAAATGCATGCCTTGTTTTTATGTCTTTTAAAAGGCAACCAATGTCACACAATCCATAGGTATTTATTGTAGAGGGTTACCCAGGTGTCAATATTTTCCCGCTCAAAACCATTCATATCCCAAATTTTAAGGATCAATGTTAGTCAACATATTAATTTCGAAATTATCTTTACAGTTTATATCATTATTAATTAGAAAAAGATAACACTAACTTCGAAATTATCATAGTGCTTATCAGATAAGCACTTCAAATTCTATCCAAACTGATTAGGATTTTTTAAATTGTCATTTAAAAAAAAAAACTGATGATATACATTAAATCTATCTCATCCATTAATAACAAACATGTTTTGTAATCTGATTAAATGTCACACATATGACATTTAATCAGAAAATCGATCATTCTTCAAATATGACATTTAATCAGAAAATCGATCTAAAAATGAGACATTTGGTGTTTATCGATTTTTCAGGGTCGACGGGTTGTATGAAAAGCGAAGGCTGAGTAATTGAAAATTAGAGGATCGATGGTTGCTACTAATTGCTTGTAACTGGTATTGGTTTCATATCGATGGATGTGGATTCGCATATGAAATCAATTGTGTTCGCATATATGAAATCAGTTCACATATGACATCAATTGAGTTCGCATTTGGTTTTGTGGGTCAAAACAGTTCGCATAAGAAGTTCACGATTTGTTTGAGGTTAATTGATTTTGATTTCGCAAGCTTGGAGTCGGAGATCTGGATTGTGTTCGCATCTATAGAATGCGAGGAGAATTTAATGGTGATATTCAGTTCGCATTTGGTGACACAAGTACGTGGTTGATGATTTTTGGTTGGTTCGCATTTGAAATCAGTGGGTTTCGCATTTGGGTTCGTATCTGGGTTTCTCAAACAACTGAAATGCGAATATGAGACAACTGATTAATTTCTCAGTTAATGCGATGAAATGCGAATGAACTCAAAGACGGATGGATGCAAGATGCGAAGAATTTGAATGAAAATGCGAAGTTTTTAATGTATAAATGCGAATGAACTCAAAGACGGAAGAAAGTTTTTAATCTTAAATGAAATCATAGTTTCCTAATAAATTAATTAACAAAATACTTAACCCGAAAACAAAATCGAAAACCAAAATATAACCACATAACGTGAACCCACCAAACCAATTACGAATGTCAAAGAAAGACACATGAGAATTAACAAAAAAAAAAAAAAAAACTTTCATTCACAAATGGTATAATGCATAAATAAAGCTTATTTTTTTCATTTACATAGAAAATATTAAGAACAAAACACTCCCATGTTCTTGTACATGATACATACAAAACAAAGAAGAAACTATTATTCATATGGTACCTTCAAATATAAGAATGATACAATAGTCAAATATGTATATGATAAAATTTGAAACAAATCAATCCAAATTCACAAAATTTTGTCAGTTAAATTTTTTTTGTTGTCTGACAATAAATGAAACCAAAAACTTATGCATTGCAATTTTCAAAAACAAAACTTACAAATGGGTTTACCCCAAACAATAACAAAAACTTACATATTGCAACTTTAAAGAAAAAACTAAACATTCAACTACAAGAGCTCTAAAACCCAACAAGAAGATCATTTCAGATCTTAAGAAGCTTACCCACGATTTCTTTGAGATGTTGGTTTATATCAATCCATTTCAAGTCCTGTAAACACACACATAAACACAAAGTTAGACATACGCATAGATACAGGACGATGGTCAGCAGCACCGGAATTTTAGAAGGATGCATAGAGGAAACTAATATGTGGAAGCTATGAGGTAGCTTTTTTGATAGAGAGACAGAAAGGGGAAGTGCAAAGAACGATAACAAAGGTGGTGGGTTTAGCAAGCAAAGATAGCCATGGAAGGAGAAAAAAAGGTAGTGTCTCGCAACAACAATGATCTAGGAATTTTTATAAACAACTAATTGACTCTTGGTGATTTGCAAGATAAACATAGACTCATACAAACACACACAACCAAATTGAAGAAACGATAAGGAAAGAAAGTAATACCTTGAACTAAACAAATTAACAAGCTCTCTAGTTGCTTATTTCTTTAAGAACATCAAACTAACTATGAAATTTCAAATAT